CTGTGGCACCACACCTGCCTGGCAGGTGCAAAGTCCTGAGCTCGATCCCCGGTACCAAAACAAAAAAAACCAAAAACTATCTAGACCCCAATTTTAGCCAACTGATATAAATAAATAATCCAGTCAGATCTGTATAACTTCCTAGCTGTTCTTTCTTTTTTTATTATTTTTTTTATTTTTTTGGTACTGGGGATCAAACTCGGGTCCTTCTGCTTGTGAGGCAGGTGGCGGAACCACTGAGCTAAATCCCCGGCCCCACTAGGTGTTCTTTAAACAGTGAGGCTAAGTGTAGAGTGAAGCTGGTCACCCTCTTTGGGTCCTGTCCCTTCCTGTTGCTTTCCTCCCCCACCTGACGCCAGTCCTCAACACTTAAGGTCACATCACATGTTGGTTACAGCTGAGATACCAACACAGGATTGTCATCAGCTATCCTCAGGACACTCAGAAGACAGCTGTGTGTCCGGGACCTCACTGTCACCTGGGACTTCTCCTTCAGCCCCTTGTGCTAGGCTAGGGGACTGTTGGAGTCCACCACAGAGCCTCCAGGGTGAGGAGCGCTGGGATGGAAGGCTGGTGAAAGGCCACGTGGAGGAATGGGAGCTGTAGAAAGGTACCTACCTCACCAAGTGTGGGGGTGCACACCTGTGATCCTAGTACTGGGGAGGCTGAGGCAGGAGGACCACTGTAAGTTGGAGGCCAACCTGGGCTGCATAGTGAGTTCAAAGCCAGCCTGAGCTATGTAGCGAGACTCTGTCTCAAAAAGAGAAAGAAATGAAGATGGTAAATTTTTTTTTATGAGTATAATCCACAACTGAAAAAACAAAAAGTACCCAGAAGTGGTTCCCTCTGTAAAGCCAACCCATCTTATGCAATGTGAAGAGTCCAGCTCCTCTCCCAATGAACCTGTGTGAGTTCCGGTGTGTGTGTGTCTGTGTGTGAGTTCCTGTGTGTGAGTTCCGGTGTGTCTGTGAGTTCTGGTGTGTGTGTGTGTGAGTTCCGATGTGTCTGTGAGTTCTGGGGTGTGAGTTCTGGGGTGTGTGTGTGAGTGTGAGTTCTGGTGTGTCTGTGAGTTCCGGGGTCTGTGTGTGTGTGTGAGTTCCGGTGTGTCTGTGAGTTCTGGTGTGTGTGAGTTCCAGTGTGTCTGTGAGTTCCAGGGTGTGTGTGAGTTCCGGTGTGTCTGTGAGTTCTGG